GCAGCTCCTCGTCCACTCTGGCCTGGCAGCTGTTCCGGTCGGCGGCCCGCGTTCCTCCCTGTCTGCTGGGTCAGGGCCCCATCGCCCTCTGTTCTTTGCTAATGAGTAACACTGCATGTTTCACACTGGGGAACAAACTCATCCATATAAAAAAGCAGGTAAATGCTGATTGAAGTCATGAGATGTGCAAGCATGGGGGTGTTGACTGTCCTTAACCCCAGTCTTTTCTCTAGGAATCTTTGGGGATACATGGTCACATGGGCAACACATGACTGACTGTAGAGACAATGAGCTGGTCCTCTGTAGCCGCTCCGCTGTAGGGCCTGCGAAGGGAAGACTGTATTCCTGGCTCACAGCTTCCCTGGGCCTCGCGTACAGTGGACGGTAGGTGTGTTGGTTTGTTCTGCTGAAATCCATAAAAGAAATGTACAGAGTGAGTACCTTTTCTCTTGTTGCTTTTCATATGTTGATAATCAACATATCTGCCAGCGCCAAGGAGACTTTTTTTTGGTAGTTGAACAAGCCAATGTTGATCTCTATTTTAGATGCAGAGGATATTTAGTCTTAGGCTTTGGTGCGAGTGAGTCCTTGGCACTCATCCTGTTCCTGCTTAGCTATTGCCCCAAATACTTGAGGTTTTGGTTTGTTTGTTTTCACATATTTGTTTTCTGCCTTATAGAATTGAATCACCCTTTTTTGGTTTTATGTTTGACCTTTAGTTTTGGGGAACCACCACTGCTAGAAGGAAAAAACGGGATTTATTGGGGAGGAAGGGGGAGAGAAAGGGAGGACAGCACCTGCTCTGGCCTTCCTCCCTTATAAGGAAAACCGGCGGGATGGGAAGTAGCAGCCTTGCCACATGGTTTTTAGAGCTCTAGTTTCATTAGAGCTTGAACCCAAACCTACCAGATAGATTTCTTCTCTTCAGCCTTCTGGATTTGGGGGCAGAGGGACTCCTGACCTACCCTGGTTGAATTAAAGGGGGGCGGGTGGTCTGTTTGTCTCACTGCTGTGGTCTCCAGAACACTTTCTTTAGTCCTTTGTATTCTTAGCAACAAAGTCACCTCTTGGCAGGAGTAAAGCCACTCAGATGCCAGCAGTCAGGGTTTGGTTTCAGGTCACCAGCCTTAGAGAGGCCGTGCCCGATTCCTTTGGCAGGGACAGCGTGCCCCTTCTCAGCTCATTTCAGCCGCTGGGGCACAAAGGTAACTTCCTCAAAATAGAAACCTTTGAAGACTCTATCTAATGCATCTGTGAATCATTATGTTTCTCCCAAATTTGAATTTAACACCGTAGAATTTTAAAAACACTATATAGGTCCTCCTCCCCCCCTCCCCCCCAAATCAACTCTCAGAAAAAAAGTAGATCTGCATTAGAAGGGCCGGAGCATTTTTTTTCTGGGAGACCGTGCGGTTGGTATTTGCGGCAAATGCATGGGTGGTGGCCTTGACAGATCCCAGTTTTATTCTTAACTCCAGGACTATTCCTGGAAGTGTGACCTCAGGCAAGTCTGTTCATCCCTGAGCTTCCATTTCCTCAGCCGTAAAATGATTTTAATAAAATCTACCTACAGTGTCATTGGGAGGCAGGGAGTGCCTGTGGTCACATATAGAGAAAGCACATTACTCAGAACTCTGAACGGACACGAGTGCTTTTCCTTCCTCAGGCACAGATGAGAGACCCACACCCTGAGAAGCTCATAAAGGACAGTCACCATCAAGGAATGGTACAGTCACACGCTTCACAGCCTGCTCCCAGCGTGGGCTTACTCGTGTTTATTTTTTCTTTGCTAGTCAGGAGGGATAGCTGAAATAGGGACATTTTTGTGCTTCTACCCCAGGATCTAGTTAATCTCACATAATAATAAACCAACACAGTAGTAATCTCAGCAGCTATGGTTTATCGAACCCTTACATGCTAGGCCCTATGCCAAGCCCCTTCTGTGCATTATTTCCTTTCATCCTCAGACCTGTTCTCACAGGTATTATATCCCCATTGTACATATGAGAAAACTGAGGATTCAGGTTCTTGTGTGACTCCAGCATTTTCATGCTTCCCACTCAGCACCTTGCTTTTCAGCTCTATCCTCAGGGCCCCCAGTGAATTTTACCCCCCATTCACCTTCCTGACCTCTCAACATGTAGCAGTCTGGGCTGTCACCCTGAGTTCCAACAGTACGCTGCTGAGGCTTTCAGTGTCAAGAACAAAAAGACCAAGTCTCCCAGCTTCTTAACCTCATTCTGGCCCTGCGCTGGTGTGCGGGGGCTGGCCAGGCAGAAGAGCTGAGAGGATAGAGCTCAACAGAGACTCGGGTCCTAGTCACAGGTGTCCCCGAGGCTCTGCTTATATTCCATTCTTCCCATGAACTCACTGCCTGTGGGCGACACAGGTATTGACAGAAAGGGAGTTTGCTGTAGGCACGGTTATTTATACGGTTGGGTGAGTGGACGGACAGCTGGCCTCGGCCCCTGTACAGGCGGGGGACCACAGGATGGACAGGGCAGCCAGACAGCAGGCACACGCCCTCATTCATCTTCTCACTTCTCCTTACCTTCACCCCAGAGTCTGTGCCCCCAGCTCTGCCTGTGGTTTGGTTTCTCCTTTTACCAGCTGATGAGACCAGAAACTCTTGCGCAGTAGTGCTTTGTACATTTCTCTGGGCTTTCATTTGCTTGTAATTGAAAAGGCGATGTGACAGCACAGAAGAAAACACACAAAAAGATCAAAGCTGCCCGCCCTGCCCCATAGCCTCCTGCCCCCAACACGACACCGGCTTTTGCTTGGTTTAAAAATGCGTTTCACTTCTCCCGTAGTAGTTTCCAGGTCTCAGGCCTACCTGAACGGGACCAGGCTGCTGGAGGGAACAGAGGCTGGGAGCACTCGGAGTTTGATAGGTTTTCTTTTCTTTTCTGTTTCACCCGGTACCGTTTAGGGATTTTGAAGGCATCTCTCCGATGTCAATCAGGAGAGGGGCTCAGCCTTCTCCCAGGAGGTGCCAGGCCTGCACCTGTATGTGTGACACTGACGGCAGTGGCACTGGATGGGGGTGGTCAGGCCTCTCGCCCTTTGGGGTTGTGGTCCGAGGTCCATGGAATGGGGAGCAGGTCACCATGTGAACCAGCACTCCCTCAGAATATTTTTACGGGCTTTGTGATCAAATGAGTTTGGGAAACTCGGGGTCATACAAGGTTAAAGGTATGTTTCTTTACTATAGTGCTTTTAATATGCCAGTACTGGCTGTGAATCTCAAAGAAGGAAGTTTTATAAAAAATCATAATAACCAGCATTTGCTGAGTGTTTACTCTTTATTGCTCTCTCCAGGGGTGTCCGACCTGCGGCCCACAGGCCACTTGCAGCCCAGAACGGCCGTGAGTGTGGCCCGACACAAAGTCGTCAGTTTACTTACAATGTTAGGAGATTTTTTTGTGTGATTGCATGTCATCATGTATTTAATGTGTGGCCCAGAACAACTCTTCTTCTTCCAGTGTGGCCCAGAGACGCCGAAAGGTTGGACCCTCCTGTAAGAAGCGTCTCATCCAAATTCTCTAGCAACCCTGTGAAGTAGATGCCATCACTATCCCCACGTTAGAGGCTGGGGAAGCCCTTGTCCAGTGTCATAGCTAATTTGTAGTACTCTTGGTAGGCAGCTGCGCCCGATCCCTCTTTTATTTGGGGCTTTCTATTTCCTATGGGATCAATACTTGAAAGGACTCTAGTTGGAGAAATGCCAACATAAACTCAGGAAGTGAAGAGAGACTGTTGGTGACCGGGATTTGGGGTTTCTCCTGTGAACCCCGTTGGGTTCTGAGCTCCATGGACCCCCTGCCCCCACATGTCTCTGTCGGCGTCACATTAGGTTGGTCTTGCAGCCTGTTCAGCAGGAAAGGCAGGCAGGGAGGGTCTGAAGTAGGAGGTCTGGGCCAGTGGTTCTCAGACTTAGGTGCGTACTGGAATTCACCGGTAGAGCACTGAGAGTGGCTGCTGTCTGGCCTCATTCTCAGGGATTCCAGCTCAGTCCAGGGGGAGCCCAGGCACCGGTGGCTTTTCAACGCTCCCTGGTAATGCTGCTGCAGCCTGCGTGAGAACCATTGGTTTGGGCATTCTCCTTTGTGGTCTGGTTACCATATCTGATATCAGAGCAGGGAAAAGATTTTCTTTTGTAAGTTAAGTGTCTTTTTAAAAAAATACATTTTAATTGTTCGAGTACAGTTGTCTGTCCTTCACCCCGGGGTGTTTTCTTTCTTTTTTGGTGTAAATGGGTGACTGGTATTCCTTTTTACCAGCCTCCCATAGCCTTACGCCATGAATCCTCTCCCCGGACCCTAGCTTTGCACTGACAACCACATAGTGACCACCCCTTGTGCAGAAGTTTTCCATCGGTTGCCAAGGGGACTGGTGAGAAAGAGGCTCAGCACTCTTACTCCTGCTGGAAGAAGCAGGCCGGTACCACTGCTCGGAGGGCTGCATCCACGCTGCCGCGAGGGGAGCTGGAGTGAGAAGCGCGCTCTGGGTGATGACGTTAGCTAACCACACGCATACTTGGTATTGGGCTTACGCCATCAACAATGGGCTCCAGAGGGTGTCGCTGTCATTTTCAGCTGAGTCTTGTGGAACTGGGTAATAGAATGGCCTCTTGGTTTGGTACCTGAGTAACTTAAGTTGTTGTTTCTTACTGTGTCTACAAAAAAAGCCTTTTTTAGACATTTAGGAAATATTATATACCCTTGTCAATAAAAGACAATGACTGTTTCACTATGTTGTGTACCTGAAACTAGTATATTACTGTGTGTCAATTTTAATTTTTAAAAAAGGCAGTGACCGTTTTACCCTGAACTGTGACGGCTTTTCTTAACATCTTCATCTTTTTCAAAGGACAGACCCTGGGCCATTCAAAGCATAATTCTGGGAATTTAAGACTGCTTGCCCTTTATCCAGCTCAAGGTAGGTGTGTCCCGGGTTGATCAAAAGGTTTGTAATGGGAATGTTTCTGTTTCTTACAGTACAACAAACACCTCTTCGTGCACATTGGGCATGCCAACCATTCTTACAGTGACCCATTGCTCGAATCAGTGGACATTCGTCAGATTTATGACAAATTTCCTGAAAAGAAAGGTGGCTTAAAGGAACTGTTCGGAAAGGGCCCTCAAAATGCCTTCTTCCTCGTAAAATTCTGGGTGAGTAAGACTTTGCTGTGATTTCGGTGGCTTTTGTCTGAAAGGTTGAGTCCCGTACGCGAGCGTGGACCGGCACAGGGGCCATGGACTCGCACTGACCGCACGGCCGTGTGCACCTGCAGGATCGCCACGGGTCACAGACTCGCACCTGTGTGTGGTCCACGTGCTGGCCTGTGGTACCCTGAGGCCCCTGCCGAAGAGCAAGAGACCGGTGGCCTCTTTGGGCTTCAGGACTCACTCATCCAATGACAAGAGGCTTCACAGATGGATGGAGTCAGATGGGAAGCATAGGGCACTAGACCCTCTTTTTCTTTTCACTCCATTAAGCAAAGCAACCTACAAATTCCCCTGGAGCATAGGACCTGAGACAGAGATGGGGCTGGGATGAAGACAAAGTCATGTGCTCGGGAGTTCACACGTGTCTGAGGGAATACGAAGTGGCTCTGCCCAGTCTGCGCCTCCTTTGTTCTCAAAACCATTGAATGCAGATTCTGCCAGCTGCTAGGGCTTGCTGATGCCCCTCGGCCTCTGAGAGGAGCTCTGTTCTTTCTTCCCCACTAGTCAGGCTCAGGCTGGGGCACTGCTGACGGGTCAGAGACGTTAAAGCAGCCATAAGTATAATGCGTGTGTACTGGGAGGCCAGGGGGGCAACAGGAGACCAGACAACGGGCCAGCACTGAGTGTGTGTAATTCCTCGGTAGCTAATCAGTTCCCGTGCTGTGTCATAATTATTTGGATGTGTCCCACTCCTCTCTGGACTTCCGACTGCTCCAGGGGACCTTGCTCAGAATAGTGGCTACCATCTAGTGAATGCCTGCTGTGGGCTGGGAGCCACGCTAGTGCTTTACATGTGTCTCGTCCAGGCCTCACAGTGTTCAGTGGAATGTGCCTCCCATTCAACCAAGAAAACAAAGAGTCAGAGATTACAAGGGGCGGGCTACTTGCAGGGTGGGAACCAGGGTCGTGAAATTGGACATGTTTCACCTTAGTGGCCCTGCTATTTCCTGGCTGCTTCACAGCCAGTGGACCGTGGCCACTGACTCCAGCAACAGAGGACTTTCCTATCTCCAGTACTGAAAAGCCCGAGACGTGGGGAAACAAGGGGATGAACTAAGGAGAAATGCATGTTTTAAATTCCTTGGAGGGAAGTTTACATATTAAGTTTGTTCAGTTTTTTTTATCCTTGCATGGTAACTAGCTTTCATTTTTCATGCTTTCGGATTGAATTTGAATTGTAGAAGTAGCCTTTTACTTATACTAATGCTCTTGGGATGAGTAATTTGTGTGGATAATGTACGTGAACGAGCAATAATAGTCATTCCCGCTCTCTAAATTGGAGGCTGCCACTTCGTGATTTGCAAGGTGTTGGGGGCTCAGGTATGTGGTCCCACAGCCGTTTTCAAAGTGTGGCCTGCAGACCCCAGGGGCTTCCTCAGCATCCTGTTGGTGGATCAACAAGGTCAAAAGTATTTTCACCGTGACACTGTGACATTGTCTGCCTTCTACTCTGCCGATGTGCCCACTCTGGTGGTTCAGGAGCAGTAGGGTGAAACCGCTGAAGCCTTAGCACCATCGGGCTAGCAGGCGCTCACGGGTACCAAAGAGGGAAAGCAAGAAGCAGTCAGACCAAGCATGTTCTTCACGAACAGCACTGCGTCTAGAACCTAGAGCACACACGCCGAACGGCTGCCGTGAGCCTGCCTGCCTAGCCACGGACAGCAGCTGACAGTGTTTGTCACCGGAGAGAAAATCTGGGCTTTCAAGTAAAAGTAAGAATTTTGGAAAACTTTTATCTACCTCGGGAAACGTGACAGCTTTCCGGTATTTAAAAGACTTTTCTGGCAAGGTCCACAGTCATAGTAACAAATGTGATTTCTTGATATGGTACAGGATGGACCAGAGGATTTTAATGTAACAGAGTAAGTTTATTGATATGGCTTCAGATTCTACCCTGCTGCTAGCTGTTCCAAAAGTACCAGTTGTCAAGTTTTGCTGTAATATCAAAGAAAAGTGACCACAGTTATCTGATGAGTACATTAAAATATTCTTCATTTCTCCAGTTACACATTTATGTGGGGTTGGGGTTGGATTTTCTTCATGTACTTTAACTAAAGGAGTGTGTCATGACAAATTGAATATAGAAGCAAGTACGAGAACCTGGACGTTTTCCGCTAATTCACACATTAAATAGATGTGCAAAATGTGAAACAACACTACTCTTGTAACTGTTTTTAAATATAGGTATGCCTAATAGTTTAAAAATGTATGTTAACGTGTAATGGGCTTATTACTGTTTTGTTTAGGTAATTAGTATTTAAATTTTTTTCAGTTTACATTTCCAATACAGAAATTATAGGTAGATATAACCTATGGGAACAGAAGCTCTTTCTGGTGAAAAGGGGACCTGAGATCAAAACGACCGAGAGTCGCAGTTGTAAAGGGTGTGAAAAGAGGCTGTTCTGCCCAGTTAGTGAACTTGCATCAGAAATTATGAGATGTGATGAAAAGAAAGCATTTTCAGTACTTTGAAGTTAAACCGTATTGGTTTTTAATGATAAGTTTTTTGTAATTAGTCTGTTATTTGACTATAATGTGGAATGAAAAGTACTTTGGAAGTTGTTCTTGGTTTTGCTTCCAGAATTTCACCCATTTAACTCACAAGGTGATTTGAATAAATGATTGTAATAAAAGGGTTGGGGCCCTTCCGTCACTCAGGGATGTTTGGAGTGTGGTGGCTGGCAGGAGAGGTACAAGTTTAGACTTCATTACTCCCAAGATCAGATACCAGTTTATTGAATTCAGATTTGGGGAATTAAGATTGAGCACTTCTATGAATATGATAGAAGACATCATTTCTTAGCATATAGTTAACAGTACTTAATTAACCTTTGTAGAGAAATTCAGACATAACTCTGTTAAAGGAAGTGAGGAAAGACAACTGTAGGTTCACAATTTGCTACAATTTTCAATCTTATTGGCTTCCTCTAATGACTAAGCGTGAACTACACCCAGAATAGCTCCTCGTAGATACCAGTTTGGTATTTCTAGTGGGTTTCTTTTTTTTCCTCCCCAGTCGGTGTTGCTTAATAGGTGTAACACTCCCTTTGAAATATCTTTTGTGTTAGCAATTTGCTTAGCAGATTTTGTAATTTTTTATGAATTCAGTAAATTTGGACAGATTCTACACTCACTCTTCCTCCCCCTTTTTTCCTCTTTCTTGGGGCACATAAGATCTCTAGGTTGTCAAAATCAGACTTACGTCAATCCGTTCATACGATTCTTCCTGAAATTCTGTTTTCTGAATGTCTGCCGTGTTTAGCCTGGGCTCAGTGGGGCTAGACCGGGCCAGGGGTTTGCTGCGGAGGGAACACTGAGCGCCACCTGTAGTACCTACACCTGCCCCACGCTGTGGACACCTCAGCTCTTTGCCAGTGGACACTTTCAGGTGGAAGGGGTAGCGGGGAGCCAAGTGGCAGTCACTCCACTGGTTTCAGGACACTGCCTGGACCCCCAACACATGAACGAATGGCAGAGCATGGCTGCCTCTCTACCCTGTGAGCCTTATGATAGCTCACATCTTAGTGGTGTGGTCACTTGAGGGACCCTGGTGAGATCTTTTCTTTAAGAGCCTTATTGAGGTACAACTTACAAAATTTACATGCTATAACATGTACCGAGTTTTAGAAAAATTGACAGACTTGAGTAACTGTCACTACGATTAAATGTCAGAATGTTTCTGTCACCCAAACAGATCTGTACCCACTCATAGTTAATCCCTGTTCCCACCGCCAGCCCCCGGCTACTGCTAGTCTCCTTTCTGCCTGTACTGACGTGCTTTTTTGCGACATTTCATGTAAGTGGCATTATTCGGCACGTAGTGGTTTTCATCTGGCTTCTTTCACTTCCCGTGTTTTGAGGTGCGTCCGTGTTTCGTTGTGCATGAGCAGTGAGCTCACCGCTGTTCTGGGTGCTGTCTCCTCGAATAGATGTGCCATGTTTGCTTTTCTGTTCACTAGTTGATAGGCTTGTGGATTATTTCCACTTTAGGTTTTTTGAATAATGCTCTGTGAAGTCTTTGTGAGGGCACATGTTTCTATTTTCCTTGGGTAACTACCTAGGAGTAAATTGCTAGGCATATATTTAACTTTTTCAGAAATTGCCACACTCTTTTCTCAGGTGGTTGTACCACTCTGCATTCTCCCTGTGGGATGCCAGGGGTCAGCTCCTCCTGCCGTTTTGTCTGCAAGTGTTAGGGTGGGGAGAGACGACAAGCAGACGTTCTAGATAAGGGGGCTGGGGAGCGAAAGCACCAAGACAGGGAACCTGAGCGGTGCATTCAGGGGAGTTCATGTGCATTGAGGTGCTTTGTAAGTGGGTCTTCGCTTGTGTGGGAAATGTAGGTGAGTAGAAAAATGAGAAACACAGGGAATCAGGATCCAATTGTGACAGCAGTAGGGAGCAGTCAGTGGTTTTAACAATTTTTTTAAAGATTTTATTTATTTTTACAGAGGGGAAGGGAGGGAAAAAGACAGGGAGAGAATCCATCAGTGTGTGGTTACCTCTCACATGCCCTCAACCAGGGACCTGGCCCGCAACCCAGGTATGTTCCCTGACTGGGAATTGAACCAGCGACCCTTTGGTTTGCAGGCCGGCGCTCAATCCACTGAGCCACACCAGCCAGGGCAGTTTTAACAATTTTTAAGCCAGGACAATTGTGTTCACTAAGTGTTACAGTGACATTCTCTGTATTTTTACCTTTTCTATTTCTATTCTTTAATATTTCTTTCTTATGACAGCATCCTATTTATTTCCTTTTGCTTCTTACCTACTTATTATTCATTCCTGTACTTTTCAGTTCTACCTACATTTGATTACAAAAGGAGGAAAAGTGATTTTCAGGACTGGAGGGAAGGGGTACCCCTCTTTTTCAGCAGCGTGTGAACATGACCTTTGATGAGTCCCTCTTCGGGCCTTGCACTGGTGCCAGGCTTCAGCAATAT